TTCTGATCCAGTAATGTTAAAGTGATATTGAATTTCAGCCTTATAGGAACACTATAAATGATACTGAGTACACAAAATATAACTTTCATAGGAGTGTGTCATTTGGAAAGTATGTCCAGCTGTAACCTCAAAACGGGACTAAAAATTTCTCAAAATCAGCCCACTGGGAGTTGGAATGTGGTCAGTTACAGTTTAAATGGCCATTTTGTTTTTGAAGATGTCAGATATGGATTCAGCATCCTCAATAATCCCCCAAACCACTCCTATACTGGCCAAGTAGTGAAATATGAAATATTGTCCATGTAAGTGATTATGCTTATTAATGCTAACTATGCTATTTGCCAATTAGCATCTGGCTAGGCTTTCTAAATGCTGGGGACGCATACTGTACATTTCTAACATTTTAACATCCCCTATTATATCCACTTTTATATGAGGAATAATAGTTACATAACGACCAGTCTGAAATGGATTCAAATTAACACATGTGGAACAGAAATGGTGGTGTTGATGAAGGGGTACTTGAGTTCATTGGACTCAGCTGTGGGGGTACGTTTTACAAAAAAGGTCGGGAACCACAGCCTTAAAAGAAAGTAGCTGAATATGATTTTGAGCTCATATGTTTTTATGAGGGCTTTTAAAAACAACAAACATGTTAAGATTTATATTTAAATTGATTTATAAAAAAGGAAATCTCATAAAAGAACCATTTGTGATATTTTACTCCAATTGGGGTTGGTAAAAATAAGAACTTTTGACAAGTAACTATAGCCAAAATAATTTATCCATATTGAATTTCCTAGGGGCTGATTTCTATTAGGGCCGGGCGATATGGCTTAAAAATAAAATCTCCGATTTTTTCACACCAAACCTGATTTACGATTTTAATAGATTTTTTTGTAGACTGTTTTTTAGCGGGTGTTTGTGGGCTGCGGTCCTGTATATCTCGCAGAGAGCATCATGCCTCTGCTTGAGGTGCTGGAATAAATTGGTCGTACTGCTACCTTTGGTTGCAACAGCTTTCAAACAAACTTTGCAGTGGGTCGTGGTTTGTTTGCTGTCAGACGCCACAAAACCAAACCAGTTCCAAACAACCGACGAAACTGTGTCTTTTTTGGGGACGAGCTCATCCTGGCTTGCTGCCGTGTTGTGTTTATCTGTGGAGAGGCGGGGGGAGGGGTCAGCGCACTCTGACCTACGGGAGCCCAAAGGGAGCGCCGGTGTTGTGGAAGTTCAAGAGAAAACCGTTTTTAACTAAAAATAAATCGTGTTTAACTACGAATTCCAATTAATCGACAAAATCGATTTATCGCCCAGCCCTAATTTCTATAGTGTTGATAAGAACTTTGGATGTGAACAAATAACATAATCTCAAATGCAATGATAATGGCCTGGCTATACAGTTTTCAGATTGAGTTCAGTTAAGTACCATAGAAGACTTAAAAATACCAGTAAAGTTTACACTTGAAAAACTGGAACTTTGTTAGAATTCTTGTTTAAAACATTAATTTAAACAATTTATTAACCAACTTGTTGCTGAGCCAACACAAAGTGTATCAGTAAGATGTTGCTCCACCACAAGCCTCCACAACATCTAAAGCACTCCTTGTCATAGATTCTCCAAGTGTGTGGAACGATAGAGATGAAAGATATTCCCTCAATTACTGTTTTGATGTTGGAAATGAAGGATGCTGTCTAACACGTCGCTCCAAGATTTCCCATAGTTGTAGTTAGGTTCAGATCTGGTGACTATGCAGGCCATAGCATATGATCAACATCATCTTCATACTCATCAAACCATTCAGTGACCATTTTTTCCTGTATGGAAGCATCTGCATTCATTATGTTTCTCCACTCATTTATTCATATTTTTATTTTAATCTGTCACCATTATTCTTGGGTATGTAGCTATAGATAGGTGATTAGTAGGAGGCTGCTGTCAGAATAACAGATGGCTGGTTCATTTATGTGAGGTGCTCATCACTTGTCTTTTCATCTCATGGAAAAACAACCCCCCCTGCATTACCTTATTCTATGTCTTTCCACATATAATTTCATATTCTCACTGCTGGATGCATCCATACCGTAGCCGGTTAGCCTCCATTGAAGGCAAGCCAACAATTCTTTCTATTAAATCTCAATACAGTTAAAAGTACTTCTCTTGGTACAGTCAACTCTACCTTGCCCCTTCTTTTTTTTCTTGCCAAGCTTGTCATTTCTGACAAGGATAATCTTTCCTTCGGGGATTATGAAGCTATCCTGTAGTCATCACTTTTTGTCAGCTTAGCTCATATTAGCCAGCAACCCGTAGCTTAACGGGCTGAGCTTTGTATCGCAGTTCAAAAGGAACACCGAAGATTTGTGCCACGGTTCAGCCATAAGTCAGTTAAACCAGCATGGCGGTCGTTCACAACCCCCAGTTCCACGGTTCAAAGCCCAATCAGTGAGGATGAAGCGCCCAACTGTTGCCAGAGGTATTCCAGTAATACCTTTCTTTAGGAAAATAAACGTTGAGTGGAGCTATATTGGTGCTAGCAGGACATGGCCTCTTGCCCTTGCCACATACTGCGGAAGAAGATGGAGGTAGAAATAGGCAGTAGTTATAGTCACATCTTAGGTAGTTACATTCTAAGTAGTTCTTCCGTTTTGAAGGTCAGGACGAAGTCCAGCTGTGACTTAATAGCCCCTGTGGAATAATCAGCAGCTTGATTGGTGTATCCTGCCTTTGAGTTGATCTCAAGAAAAAAAACAGTGTCCTGTAAAAACTGAATACCCCCACCAGCCTCTGAGAGCAGAGTTCAAAATTAGTGATTCACCATGACACACAGCAAATGGTCTCTCAATCAGAAGAGGACATGCACCTACCAAACAAAGTGTAGAGCTGAATAAACAACTCAGTCTGCCCCAGTGTTTGCTTTCAATGGGCTCCCCGACTCCCCAGTGTGGCACACAGTGACGGGCATGCAGAACATTGAGCTTTTGATTTGTGAGTCTTTCCCAATGCTCAAAAAGCCCGAAGGCTGGTTGACTGAATTAGGAGTTGGAGTGTTATCTCCCCAACGGAGGCAGAGTACTGATTGCTGCCCTCATTGGTAGTAGAGAGCACGTCTGCCTGGTGTAATAGCTGCCATAGAAACCGCATCAGCCAAGTAATTGTTTAGGCAACCTCAGAAAATTAAGAGGACAACATTAAAATTATTTCGCTTGGCTTCTTCTTGCTTAATTTTTTTTAATCAAATGTTCAATTTGTGGTGCTGCAGTGTCACAGTAGATTGACAGCTTTTGACCAGAGTAGACAAGCTCTATTTTCAGTTTTTTTGTGTTTTGTACTTGATTCCCAGAGTTTTAGAGAAAACACAGGGTTATATGTACTATACAGTAGAGTCAGCAATATTGACAGTACAGCAATGCTAGTATGTCTCCGGATGCTGATTGGTTTCAGTTTTATCCCTAAATTGTGTTGTAGCTTTCCAAGAAAAGCTCTCAGAGCATCCTTTTGTTCTGTTGGTTTTAAACATAAAGGCAGAAGTCCAACCACAAAAACAGATTGCTCAACAGAGACAATGTTTCCATCTCATTGCTTTGTGTTGTTACCTCAGTTACCAGTGAAGGGATAAACAAATATATGGCAGAGCAAGAGGTCCATGCAGTCATCTCTTCGCATTCAGTTTTCAGGATTGATGGATTATGTCATCCGATTGATGTCACTCAAGACAGCAGAATGTTTCTTGAATGTGAATTTTTGTGGAATGACTTCCAGAAAGTAGAAAACTTGCAGCTGAATAGTCATAGTTTGTGACTGACGTGCTACATGTAAGATGTAATAAACACAATTCATGTGGGTTGCATAGTTATTCACAGTTATTTATTGTTGACACACTTATGTTATTATCTGGTTTCCAGTATATTTTTTTCCCCAGTTTATTACAAATTTTGAAAAGGAAAAATGGGCAGTGTGCGGATCTGAGAGACTTTGACAAGGGCCACATTGTGATGGCTAGACGACTGGGTCAGAGCATCTCCAAACCTGCAGCTCTTGTGGGGTGTTCCCGGTCTGCAGAGGTCAGTACCTATCAGAAGTGCTCCAAGGAAGGAAAAGAACCAGAGAAAGGGTCATGGGGGGGGCCAAGGCTCATTGATGCACGTGGGGAGTGAAGGCTGACCCGTGTGGTCCGATCCAACAGACGAGCTACTGTACCTTAAACTGCTGAAACAGTTAATGCTGGTTCTGATAGAAAGGTGTCAGAACACACAGTGAATCACAGTCTGTTGGTATGGGACTGCAGAACATTATTAGCACCAGGGTGGCCGGTTGAGCCTAACGTTATAGGTGTATATATGTCACTTTTATGTTTTAACCATCTTCAAAATGTGCTTGTCTTAACACAACACTAAGCCTGCCTTACAAGCTGAGATTGGGGAGTTGAAAGACATGTACTAGGGTATGGTTGAATCAAAGATGCCATCAAGTTGTAATATGGGAAATGTTGGGTCTGGTGTTTTCGGAGCTTGACCTATTCTTGGGACTAAAAAGTCAAAATCTTGGCCTCTGCTGCCTTAAATCTGACCGGTCTGTTTTTAAATACCATACTTATTAGTCATTGGTGCAGCCCCCTTGCAAATTAATTAAATCAAATATTTAAATGCTGCAGCCTAAACAGAATGATTACAGTATTACTTTGAAAAGGATTAAACATTTTTGAAAGTGTGTGTAAGTAATTTTTACATAATAGATAACCAGTAAATAAGTTGTTTTTTGAGAATCCCCAAAATCTGATTTTGAGGTTTTCAAGTGTTTTTAGCTTTAGCCACTGACCGATATGAACTGTCAGGTCATTGGCCTATATTCCTTCTGCTTCTTGGAGGGTAGCGACAGGCCGTATCGTCCAGGCCACTGCCTTTTATGAGAGGCAGTGACATGCACGATAGGATGACTGATATTGTCTTTAATTAACAATGTAGCTAATATTGCTAAACTGGCAATTCCAATCTGTTTCCAGGATGTTACGGCGTGGATGGTGAGAGCGACTCCATCATGAGCTCCGCCTCAGAGAATTCGACAGAACCTTGGTTCTGTGATGCCTGTAAGAATGGAGTGACTCCCAGCTGTGAGCTGTGCCCAAACCAGGATGGCATCTTCAAAGAGACGGACGCCGGGAGGTGGGATACAGTAGCGCACTGACCCGGTGGTCACTTGCCATTTACGAGAGGCAGCCAGTGGAACGTGTTCAGAAACAAAATAACGCCTCAGTTAATGACCTTAGCTGGTTGAAATGCTGAAGGCAATATATGTACAAGCTAAATTGTACATATATTCAGCAGTGGAAAAAAGAGGAAGTTGGATTAAGGAGGAGAGAGAGAGAGAGAGAGAGAGAACTGGTAGAGGAATGAGAGATGGGGATGGAGGGAAGAGAACAGATAGAGAAAGAAAAGGAGTGAGAGAAAAGAGTGTGTTATGTGAAGCGTGGAGACTTCAGCCACGTTATCGCTGATAGTGCTCCTCAGCCAGGCTGCGCCCGAATTTACTACTTCACTAGAGCATGAAAAACACAGCAAATTAAACTGTGAAGCTGTTGCTTGCTAGAGATGGATATCTTTATATTGGACTTCGGATTCTCTTCCCTAAAGTCCGCATTTGAAATTGTGTCACACCAAACTGTAGCTAGAGTCTGGGGCTACATAAATCTATGAATCCATTTCTTTTTGAAGTGTCTGAGCAACTCACTGCAGCCAATTTCATGATATTAAGTTTCTTATTGTCTGCTGTAATTCACTACACTAAATGCAAAAATAACCACAGCCATAGATTTTAATCAATTCGGTGGTGTTTCTTGAAATCAGTGACCAGAAATCAGTACATTTTAAATGTCACCTTTTAAAAACTACTTTACAGGTCTACGAAATCTAAATTTTCTGGTCATGGTTTGCATACAAATGTGTTGTAGTCTGTTCTGTTTCTCTTCAACAAACCAGTTTATCAGCCTGTTTGCTTTTCTTCCTCTCTGTTTTCAGATGGGTGCATGTGGTTTGTGCACTTTACGTTCCCGGAGTTGCATTTGGAGACATCGATAAACTACGACCAGTAACACTCACAGAGATGAATTATTCCAAATATGGAGCCAAGGCAAGTGCTCTCTTTTTTTCTTTTTTTCCTTTTTTCCTTTTTTTTTTTACATATTGATGGTGGTTGGTTTAATGTTGATTTAGGTTTTACTGGCATGTTAAACATCCTGCTGGAGCCGCTTTTTAAGATGCTCTTTTTGATTAGTCTATCCCGAATGTATATCCAAATATATAATTATGTTTCATCGTCATTCCTTCTTAGTTATTGTCCACTAGAACGAGAAAATACTATTCTACAATGAACTCTTGTTTGAAGAATAAGTTGAAGTTGGACTGTTGGTCAAAAAGTTAAAGATGAAAGCAGTGGAATTGTCAGTTCAAGTGTAAGCAATGAAAACATTTGAGCTGTCATTTTAAGAAGTGATGAAAGCACCTAAAATGTCAGTTGAAGTCAAATTTAAGTGTCTCAGTCGAGGTGCCTGTTGATTACGCAGCTGTGAAAACAGTTGCTGTGTACACTGTTGAAATTAGGGATGGGACGATATACAATATCATTGCATATCACGATAAAAACACTATTTATTGTGGTGAATTTCCAATATCATGATAATTGTGATTCGGGATAATCGTGAATATCCTCACATGAGTCTGTCTTGTTCTCCAGCATACAGTCCTATGTTGATTTCCGGTTTTATTTTGAACAAGGGGACTAGCACTGCATCTTTCCAGTCATTCCAAAATCCTAAACCTGTCACAATAGCTGAAGGCAAAAAAAAAAACAGTTCAACCGGGTGTGTGGTAATAGTATAGATTCCAAAATAAAGAACAGGGAGATGAGGTTCCTATCTGTGATGCTATAAATTATGTGTTTCTAAACTAAATGTAGGGTAAAGTGATTCCAGCATGTTTTGGTGCAACTTTAAAGGGAGGAAGTATATTTTCATGATTATTGTGATAATACAGTGTATCGCAGTTATTTTGGTCACGATAATCGTGACATTAAAGTTTCATATCGTCCCATGCCCAGACCAGTATGTTGAGTAGTGACATGTTCAAAACCCTGCAGACATGTCTTAGAAACGCATCTATCAGTGTATTCTGACTGTATTGTATCTTAAAATATGTCCAGATAAACTCATAATTAACACTCATTCAGATAATACTGGTACTTTAAATGTGTAAGAAGTGAAAGCTGGGGGAATTGTCAGTTGACATATAAACACTGAAAGTAGCTGAAGTGTCAGTTCAAGTATAAGCAGTGAAAACACATGCAACAATGAAAACAGTTGAACTGTCATTTAAAGTCCAGGTGAAATGAAAAATGACTTTTTAACCCTTATAACCCATCAAAATGTGACGTGTTCTTATGTAAGCTGGAACTAACCAATTCCACCAATAATATTCAACTTTTAGCAATACAAAGTGCAAATTGATTAGACCAACTACCTGAGCTGAGTTTTCTGCAGATTAACAATACTTTAGCCTGTGTTTCATTGTTAATGAAATTGTGGCCCTCCATGGGAAAAGGCTTTATACAGACAGAGAGGAGAGAATAGAGATGGAGACCACAATGTGACGTGGGCGGCTGTGGCGCAGAGGCAGAGCGGGTCGTCCCCTAATCGGAAGGTTGTTGGTTCGATCCCACATGTCGAAGAATCCTTGAGCAAGATACTGAACCCCAAATTGCTCCTGATGCTGTGTTTGAATGTGTATGAATGTTAGTTTCTGTTCGATGGGCTTTACCATCACTGAGTGAATGTGTGTGAAAGGGTGAATGTGCCATGTAGTGTAAAAGCACTTTGAGTGGTTTTGAGACTAGAAAAGTGCTATACAGGTTCATTTACGATTCATCAATGTAACGTGGTCGCTACGTATGTATATATATGTATAGAGTCCGGACCGGCGTAGCATTCGAATGTTGATGTTATGAACCAATCTTTGAACTATTTGTTTATTTGCCCTAGTTGTGAAAGCAGTTGAAATGTCAGTTGAGGTGAAAGCATCAACAGCATTGACAGTGACATACTTTTTGGTACTTTAAGCTGCTAAACACCATACCACTGAAAGTCTATTTGGACACTTTGAATGTCGGATAAAATACTTTTTAAAGCCTGGCTCCTAGGGAGAACATAGCACATGCTTTAACATTTTATCCATCCTGTTTTCAGACTTCATACATTGTGTAGTGTAGCTAAAGGAGTTGCCTTTGGTGACTCATGAGAGAAAATGCATTTTGGGGGGTAGATGCATGTCTCTCGCCACCACACAACTGGAAAAACTAATTGCACATATGTGTATAAGAAAGCCACTCATGTGGATGGGCTCACAGAAACCAGTGGTCACTTTCTCCTTGTTGCAGCTCCAACTTGAAGTCTCGCTGTTGTATTCTGTTGCATGCAGGAGTGCAGTTTCTGTGAGGATGCCCGCTTTGCCAGGACTGGTGTGTGCATCAGCTGTGACGCAGGAATGTGTCGCTCCTATTTCCATGTTACCTGTGCACAGAGGGAGGGACTGTTGTCTGAAGCTGCAGCAGAGGAGGTGAGAAAAAAATCTGGATATTCAAACCACAATGCTGTTTTGGAAGGGGTGGAAAAATTCCAGTGAATGAAGTAATATTCAAAAAGTTGAGTTTTTAGACACAAAACATCAAATACATCCCGACTTCTGTCACACCCAGTTGAAAGTTTTTCATTGGTAGATTTACATATGACTTTCAGTGTAACACATCTTTCTGTGTGTAGGACTTTACTCTCTGCAAAGTTCCTTTATTATATTTGGACTCCATACTACTAACAAGCTTGCCAACACCACGAAGCAACCGACGGCAGACTCACACCATGCGGTCAAAACACAGCAAGCCAGACAACCCCTGCTTAGCTTAGCTACAGTTAGCTAGTTGGATGCCCCTGCCTCGCATCGCCCCTTGCTAGTAGAAAGCTATGTACCGTTGCATAATTTATTGTCATGATACATAAGTTAGTGTCGTCGATCACGTTAGCTGGAGAAGTAACTTTTCAAGCTTACTTTAGCCAACTATCATATCCACTCAGATGGAGAGTATTTTGCTAACAATAATGTTAGCAAACAAGCAAGCCAGCTGGGGTTAGCCATGCCAGCTGCAACCCGGCCATGCTTAACAACGTTATCCCTGCAGCACCAGCCGACAGAGCAGCCACAAGCCAGCCAACATTAGCTCTGGGAGTCCGGATGAAGCTAGCTCAACATATTTTTCTACCTTAGCTAGCTAACAATTCGTCTGTGTTAGTACGTTGTTAACATCAGTCAGCTAAAAGCACAATGTGACAAAATATTCCACAAGCTTTGCAGTAATGTTAACTTTGATTTTGGACTTTGGACTATGATGGAGTCTGTGTTGTGGTGGGTGTCAGCCGTTTGCGGATGTTAGCGAACTCCATTTATAAGCTAAACTTAGCTAGTGTTGCACACTGTTGACGCTGTAGGCATCACATACATACATACCTAAAATTCTTTAGAATCTTATTTATGGAGCCTTTAATACATGATTTATATATTATTATTATTATTATTTTACAGAATGACTTTTTGTTTTTTTGAGAGGATAGGACAGGAGTATTAACAATCACTGTGGAATCTGCTGGGCAGTTCATGTACGCACCATCCATCCTCGTCTTTTGCATAATATTAGCATCCAGAGAAATACCTACCCACTGCAAACCACTTCATCCAGTCAATTTTACAGAAAGGCATCTATCAACAAGTCAAACTGTTGATGGCATCCACTGCAACAGGTTAGCCTTAAATGATTCCAGAAGGCCAGCAGCTGGAAAACTGTGGGGACTCGAGGGGACTCGGTTGTAAAATGTCAATGTAGTATAAGTTACTAATTGTGTTGCATTGTTCATGCATGTGTGTTTTTGTTTCCTCAGGATATTGCAGATCCATTTTTTGCGTACTGCAAACAGCACGCAGACCGCTTTGACAGGAAGTGGAAAAGGAAGAATTACCTGGCCTTACAGTCTTACTGTAAGGTCTCTTTGCAGGAGAGAGAGAAACAGCTCACTCCTGAAGCTCAGGTAAGGTTCTTTCATTCATATAAGCTGCAGCATAAACAACTGTCAGACATGTGCTTGTGTGTTTGTAGAAGATTAGGTCTTGGGTCACGATTAGGTTTAGGGCATGAATATAGTAGAGTTAAAATGCAGTTGTTGGTAGTCATTAGAATTGGCATTTTATTTGAATTAATGTCAGTACCCAGTCCCATTTTGGTCTATGAAAGGTGACGTCACAGCCTCTCACAGTCCCCATATTGGATGCATTAGTGCTGACTGCTGAGTATCTAAGAACATTTCTGCCACTACAGCAAACACACAAAAAACTGCACGAATAGAGGACGTCACCAAACCCAGAGTTAAATTCTATCTTATTCCTTTCAGCAAGCATCAGATTTGTTTCTGGATATCAGCTATTAAAAGGACTGTGGCAGGGGAGAAAACCACAGAAGAAGAGACTGGTGGTTAAACTAAAAATAGTAAAAAACCCACAGAGTTCCCAAGATTTACAGTGATCATGTTATAAATGATAACTTTCAGTTAACTTTAGATGTTGTTAGTATAAATAACATAAATATAGAAATAACAAAATCAGTCGGGTTTATTTCACACACTGACCCTCTTTTCAGTGCAGTTATTGTGAACAGTGCAGTTGAGCCATGTTATGGTCATATGAAGGTGTGATAGTTAGTTGCATTAGCTAATTAAAAAAACAGACAGGGCTCATTGTATGGCATGAACCTGAACTTATATTGATATGGCCAAGAAGTGGACATGTTAGTAGCTGCTTGCTATAAATGTATGATTTAGTTTTTATTAGGGCTATACAATTAATCAAAATATTATCGAAATGGCAATATGGCCAAATGCAATACGGTTGCACTGTTACTGTGAGAAATACAAATTCTGATCCCACTCTTTTCCTGAAATACATTTTTAAGAAAATCGCTATACATTGTAAACTGTGTATTGTGATATCATATCGCTAGATTCTTTCCAATACACACTCAGGGGGTGTCTTAGGGGTCTAAGTAAATGTAAAAAATATTGTATCACGATATTGTCGATTCTCAAAAACCATTGTATCAATTTATGTATTTAAACTCCCAACTGTCTGATAGCAGTGTTATAAAAGTAAACGTTTTTTCAACTCAGATTTTATGCATCTAGTGGTGACAATTTTCCTAAAATTAGATTGAAAGAAAATTGCAACGTGATCGTGATACTCATTATATTGCCAGATTATTGCCGATAAACACCTGAGGAACTAAGCCAGACCATTTAACAACTGATTCAGAAAAATGCAGGTAATCCATCATGTTGAACTTCTTTGTTTCTACGGTAGCCCAAACACTGGCTTTAGATATGGCTGTTTGTTTTTTTCGCTTGTTTCCGTGGCCACTGTAGTTTCTCCTTCATGCTTGGAATGTGAGCTGTATTCAAATTCAATCTGCAACATCAGCGCTACATGCCACTGAACCCTACACACTGGGCCTTTAATGCTACAGACAACAGTGTGCTTCCAGTTTGTCTCAACAGTTGGCAATAAGAGCCAGACCTTATCAGCCAACATCAGTGTTGGACCTCACCAATCCTCTTATGTGTGAATGGGAACAGGTTCCTGCAGCCGGGATCCAACATATGCTGGACAGCCTGAAGAAGAGACTGTTAGAGCAACACATTAATGAACATGGTTTTGGAATCACATGTCCACCTATGCTATATGGGGTAATCCTCAGGTGTCCACACACATTAGAATGTGGGCGTATGTGAACACGTGTGTGTCCCACCTGCAGGCCCGAATCACCACCCGCCTGCAGCAGTACAGGGCGAAAGCAGAGCTGTCCAGGAACACTCGGCCTCAGGCGTGGGTGCCCCGGGAGAAGCTGCCGCGACCTCTGACCTCTAGTGCCTCAGCCATCAGGAAGCTGATGAGGAAGGCGGAGCTGATGGGCATCAGCACTGACATTTTCCCTGTGGACACGTCTGACGCCAACGCCAGCATGGATGGACGCAGGAAACACAAGCAGCCTGCCCTCACAGCAGACTTCGTCAACTACTACCTGGGTGAGGAAATATATATACTCAATATATACACTCAACAAATACACTTCCAACCCATGTATGTCCACACTACTGATCTGATCTAATTTTCAGAGTCAGCAGAGAGCCTTTAACTATTTCCTCTCTATCAGTTATTGTTGTACAACAGTGGAAAGAGACACCTTCATGTCTGATGGGGAAAGGTTTTCTAGATCTGAACTCCTTGTTTACAGTTAGTGAAACTGATGCTTTAGATGGCCATAAATAAACAAGATGCACCAAGTGCAGGAGCCTACAGAGCCCCCAAGGGGTCATTATTAGGGGGAAAAAAACATGAAAATCCATTCCTGTGCATAGATCACTTTATTTATCAAGACTGACTCCTTACGGCAGCACTGCGTAAACAGAATCAAAAGAAAAAATGCGTAGAAAAATCAAATATTCTAAAGTATAATCACATTTTCTTGTATTGAGCAAAAGTCTGCCTGTGGGGTCCAAGCCAATTGTGCCACTGAAAGACTGTAATGGACCTTAAAACTAGACTAACTCAGTTATTTAAGATAGACTTTGTTAAAATAAGTATTTTGGTCACTTTATTGAACTGAATTTAGGATTAAAGATTAAGATTAATAATTCTTCTTTCAAGAAGACCCAATTTCTGGCATAATAAAAATAAGTAACTGTCTTAAATTAAGGCACCAGAAGCATTCTTATTTCTACCATTTTATTAAAACAATGAAAAATTAAACAGCTGCTTCATTTTCAACACTGGGACAAGACTACTTTCTCTTAAACTAGACATTGTGCCAGTGGTCTTACTCTTAAAATAAGGAAAACCCTCTCGTTCCTCTGCTGGGATATTATGCAAACCACTAAACCATTAACTGTTTAAATCTAGCTCAATATGACCTATAATATCAAGTAAAGTTAGACGTATTTTATTAAAACCATATTACTTTCCCGATGCAAAACATGCTTGACAAGATTTTTTTTTTGTTGACAAAAATATGAATTTTCCACAAACAAGGCTTCTTTTTTTTCAATGAGCAGACCAGGTTCCATTCCAGCCCTGGCTCTTTGCTGCATGTCATGGCCCCTCTCTCCCCTGCTTTTCCTGTCCATCTCTCCAGCTCTCACTGGCTAAAACATGATTTAAATAAAGGTATGCATGAGTGTCAAAAACACATGGTTTCAAGTTGTTTTATAGTGGAGGCGCCTCGTCTTAAATAAAGAGCGTGTCCGCTAACATCAGAGGAAATTATTTCATGAAATATAACGCTAGGCTTATTAAACAAACGTTTCCCACCTCCACTAGCGAATGTCCTTGGGGAAACCCTGCATAACCATAGCACTATCAAACCCCCTAACCTCTTTTTGTTTTAAAACAAAGGCAGAGCTTTACTTAAAGAATGGTTCAAATGCTATTCTCATGCAACTTTAGCAAACAGTACACTTGAAATATTTCTTGAATGTGTCAGCCTATATTTCCTTCCCTTCCTCCTCCTATTCTCCTTCAGAGCTGCCTGAGGAAGAGCACTCAGCTTAAAATGTGATATCTGTATGGTTGTATTCTGCCCCATGCACTTATATTCATAGATAAGCAATTAAAGGATCAGTACAATGTTATAGTAAGAAGCTTCTAATCTCTATTTTTTAGATCTGAAGTGCAGGAATGAAGCCTGGTATTGTGATTTTCACTCAGCTAAAAGGGGTTTGGCATGTATCTGCACACTGTATATCTTTAGCTGTTGTACAGGGTGGTTAAGTTATTGTTTCTAATGCTGTGTGAAGGCACTTTCTCTCCAAATAAATTATTAAAGATTATGATTCCAGATGTGTGACACACCATGCTGGTAACCTTGAGAGCACAGTCCATTGGCCTGCAGCAAAGGGCCTATCTGCCATCAGTACGCTCTCTCATGTGCTTTTTTCCTGTATATAGATTGCGATCGTGCTATTGATTTTTGTCCCATTGATATTCAGAGCGGAACATGCGAATGATCCAGATCCAGGACAACATCTCCGAACAGAAGAACTTAAAAGACAAGCTGGAGAGTGAGCAAGAAAAACTGCACTTGGAGTACAACAAGGTGAAGCACGGTCCAGACCCACTAAGAAATGGGTCATTTCTGGTTCACTAAATGTACAAGTGGAGTGCTGACATTATATTATGCTTGGCAGCAATTCCATCACAAATTATTAAACAAAGAATTATCACCTCAGAGTACAACACAGCACTGTGGCATCCCATAATCAAGCTAAGAATATATTGGTAGATAGTGTTTCAGGGTTATTATTGTATGCTTTCACTGGGTAGAGGGCGTGCCACATATCACAGTCCTTACAGCAGCGGCCCGAGTTCAAATCGGGCCCTGGGTCCTTTACTTTATGTCATGCCCTCTTTGCTTCTCCTGAAAATAAAACTGAAGCGGGATGAGCTATAACCATAAACTAAGATTCATATCTATCTGCAGTGTAACAGTGTCTGCAGCAGCAGTGGTGCTGTTTTCAGTCAGTTAAAAGTGCAAAACAGAAGTCAAAGAATTTAGTGAAAGAATGGTTTTTAGGCAAAACAAAATCAATGACTGTATTTCCAGTGGTGGTTGGGAATATTGAATGATTGTTTGATTGAGTAGGGGGCCATCCTACCTTAGTTGTTAGCTCAGTGTTTTTACGGCCAACGTTCAGCCGGGCGTGTACAACTACATCACCACGTTAGATGTTTCCTCACTGTGCTGTGTGATGAAAGCTGAATTCAGTGCGTGCCTTTCTCTCCTCAAACACGCAACCTCTGTAAAGAGACTGCCGCTCCATCTGTCAACATGAGGAAGGGAATACACCAGTTGAGTAAAAGTCACAAGAGTTAATGTTGCGTTCAGTCTTCTGCCGTACGTGTTAAGCGTCATTAATGGAGTGTGTGTTGCTAATTGCACTGTTTGAGCTGCTCTTACACAGCTCTGGCCTTGGAGAAAATGCCAGCAGAGGAGTGTCATTAAGTTTTTCTTTGACTGGTATACTGCAGTAGAGCCCAGCACAAGGTTTACTGGTGACACAAGGCTCAACTCTCAAGTGTTAACGCACAACTGACAAAGAAGCTGTCTTTTTACTCAAACTGTGACCCTTCCTAGTACTACGCTGCCCCTGTGACCATGAGCCAATTAAACCAGAGTTAGGGAGGAGCTTTATCAGATAGCCTTGTGATTGGCTGTGACAAATCAAGAAGGCTCTGTGCTTGTTTTTTCTTTACTGCCTAGATGGTTAGCAAGTCGTGTAACCTTAAAGGACCAGTGTGAATGATTTTAATGGCATCTAGCAGTGAAATGTTATACACTGGACCTTTTTAAATGAGCTAGTAAAAACCAGATCGTCTAGGTTTTCTTCCAGATAAAAGACATTTTTTTTAATATTTTTACATTTTAAATTACAGACATTCGTAATAATGCAAAAATGAACTTGTAGAACATCTGTGTGTGTGTGTGTGTGTGTGTGTGTGTGTGTGTGTGTGTGTGTGTGTGTGTGTGTGTGTGTGTGTGTGTGTGTGTGTGTGTGTGTGTGTGTGTGTGTGTGTGTGTGTGTGTGTTGTGTGTGTTGTGTGTGCTGTGTGTGCTGTGTGTGTGTGTGTGTGTGTGTGAGCTAGAAACAGTGGTGTCCTTGCCTCACGTTGTCTCTTCCCCCCTCTTGTAGCTCTGCGAGTCTCTGGAGGAGCTGCTGAATGTCAATGGAGAGCTGCGAAGTGAAGGCCAGGCCATGTGGACTGTGCTGGGCGGCATCCTGGGCCAGGTACCATCACCGCCATCACTGTTCCTTCACACCGCCTCCCCCCCCCAATCCAAGTTTCCGGAAGACTCCTGTTTATAGATTTCCTTTTTTAGCGTAGCAATGATTTGTGTTGGAGAGTTGTGCAGATTGCGAGTACCAACCCTCATGGCCAGTAGTGGGGTGGTACCGCAGTCTGTAATAACCCCACTGTTTATAAAAATCCTTTCATTTTGCACTAACTGATTGACCTGTCATTTGCCATGAAGTCAGTCCTGAATGTGGGGAAGTAAAAGCTGTCTCCCTCTTCTCGTTACTATGGCAACCAATTGCTAAGATGTGCCACTATGGCTGATGGGTTATTTAATGAGTCTGAACCGCAGTATACAGAAATAGACTGAGATCTTTAGTGTTTTTACTGGAACAGACTAATACTTGAATTTATACACAGGGTTATTGGGAGGGTTTATACAAAGTGTGTACCTAATAGTTTATAGAAGAAGAAGAAGAAGAAGATATATATATACTTTATTAATCCCCTATTGGGGAAATTCTTCCTTTCACTCTTTTTTTGTTCTTACACACACAGGCTGAAATACACACTTCATGCACTTGTGGACATGCAACAGGGAGAGAGATGGTGGATTGATGGGCCGCCGCATTAGCAGCACCCATGAGCAGTTTCTTGGGGTTAGGTTGCCTTGCTCAAGGGTACCTCGGCAGTGCACAGGAGGGGAAACTGGTACCTCTCTAGCTACCAGTCCACACTCCATATTGTGGTATCTGGGATTTGAACCAGCGACCCTCCGGTTCCTAAGCCAAGTTATATAATGATAACACATCTGTCCTCTACTACTTTCTTAACACCACATCTGTCAACAACTGTTCAGTGTAAAATAAATAAAACAGAAATTGTTAATTAAATAATAATAGAGCACAATATATAAATAAACTAAAATAAGGTACATGGTAATTTATGCTACAAACTTATTTTATGCTACACACACAGAACATAATGGGTGGGGTAAACATAAAATGGAAAAAAAAAAAAGTAACTAATAAATACAGTTATTTATACACATACACATATACACCCAGGAAATTATTCTGCAGGTCATCTTTTGAATTTGCATTAGGCTGAATGTAAACAGCGACAACAAGGTAGTGATAATATGGTTTCAGCAAGAGGTTGTGCCAGGGGGATTAGGACTCTTCCAGCTTGATACTTGTTAAACCTTCCCACAGGAGACACACCCAAGATAGCGGTTAAAGGGCATGGGGTCAGGGGGATGTCCAGAACTTCAGAAAGGGAGTTGAAGAAAGACGAGCAGAAGGAATTGAGTTTTGGGCTGGAGAAAATGTATGCGTGTGGTCTGCTGGGGAGAGAGAGCATCTGATACAAGAATCATCCGTGTCAGGAAACAATTTCTTCAGCCTGCCTTTAGTATAGTGGATCCTGTGAACCACTTTAAACTGAATATGGCTCATACCAGCACACGAGCTAGTGGAGGTGATCCTGAGCAGTGACTCTCTCCACCAATCCTTGTCAAGCTCTTTTGTGTCTTTTAGCCATAAAAGAGATTGCGAAGAGGGAAGAAGAATGTAAATTGATCCAATGCTGTTTTGTGATGCTGAGAGAGACATTATATTTTCTAGAAGAGTCTTCTCTGGTAGTTTAGGGAAAGACATAAAGTGAGTTCTTAAAAAATTACGAAGCTGGGAATATCTGAATCGACCACAATTAGCTAGATCAAATTTAGTGACGAGGTTCTCCAAACTACCAAATGTCTCGTCAAAAAAGAGATCACAAAAAGAAACCAGGCCTTTGTTCTTCCAGTAAAAGCTGGGTCTAGTGAAGAAGGTAGAAAGAGATGGTTATTACACATAGGGGTAAGGACAGAGGGGGATTTTAATCCAAAGTGTTGTCTAAACTGTTTCCAGATTTTTAGCGATGAGAGTACAACAGGGTTGCTTGTGTACTGAGAGGGACGTGACGTGAGTGGAGCAAAGAGCAATGCAGAAAGAGAAAATGAAGTGCAAGAGCTGGCTTCTATAATACACCAGTTAGTGTCATTTTTTTAAGCTTTTGGAGGTTAGCGGCCCAGTAGTACAACTGCATATTGGGAAGTGCAAGGCCCCCATTTTGTTTGGGCTTCTGGAGAATTGATATTTGAATCCTGGGGGGCTTGCCTGCCCAGATGTAAGAAGAAAGTATAGTGGTATAAGGTGATTTTAAAAAGTATAGTGGTATAAGGTGATTTTAAAAAAAGGAAGATAGGATGAGTCTGAAAAAGAAAAAGGAATTGAGGTAATACATTTATTTTAATTGTTCCGATTTGACCCACAAATGGAGGAGTGAGAGATGTTTTAAAGCCACTGGGAGATAAGTGAAAAGGTAGTGCATCAGGAGAGATGGATTTGGCTGACTGGTTTACAGGAAAACATACACTCTTTGCAATATTCAGTTTGTAACCTGAAAATACTCCGAAGATCTCTAACAGATTTAGTATTCCATCAACACAATTTACTGGGTCTTGGACGTATAATAATAAATCATCAGCATATAATGCTACTCTGTGTTCAATACCTCCCCTGTTTATGCCTGAGAACAATGTAGAGCCTTTCAGAGCTATAGACAGAGGCTCTATAGCGAGTGCAAAAAGCAACGGAGAAAGGGGGCATCCCTGATGTGTGAGGGGAAAAAGGGGGCGAAATCTCCAAATTAGTTTTGACACTTGCCAATGGAGCAGAATAGAGAAGGTGGATCCATGAGATTAATTTAGGGTCGACATTTTTGGAGGGTTGCAAACAAGTATTGCCATTCCACACGATCAAATGCCTTCTCCGCATCTAATGAAATTACCATTTCAGGATTTGGAGAAGCAGAGGGGGACAGAATTACATTCAGAGGTCTACGTACACTAGATGACAATTGACGGCCCAAAATAAAGCCTGTTTGATCCTCTGATATAATACTAGGGAGGCAGGTCTTAAGTCTGCACGCCAGTATCTTTGCCAGCAGCTTGACGTCATTTTTAAGCAAGCTAATCGGTCTATAGCTACCACATAACTTAGGTGGGTCCTTATCTTTTTTTAATATAAGAGATATTAGAGACTGGTTCGATGTTGGTGGCAGAACACCCCGTTCTAGTAAATAATTGAAAACATCTAATAATAAAGGAGCGAGCTGTGCAGCAGCAGGTTCTTTTTTGTAAAGGTTAGAATGAAACAAAGAAAACTCAAAGTATGTTCGCTGGATCTGCAGTCAAGTTCTGAGAAGAGTCACATGTTGATGCCTCAGCTGTGGGGCTAAAAGATGACTGGCCCTGTCGTATTCTGCTTTGCTTGTTGATAGCAGGTCAGATTCAGTTTGCAATTGCAGACGTTTAGCTGCTAGAGCAGGATTTGGTTAAGAGGCATGTTGCTAACTATGTCTAAGATAGCGTTGATAAGTTATTGCTTTCTCACTCTTCTGGTTTTGGCCAAATGCGCACTGAAAGAGATGATAAGCCCACGGATAAAAGTTTTTAATGTTTCCCATAGAAGCGATGGGTAAATGTGATCAGACCTGTTGGTCTCTAAAAAGAAATCTATATCTGAAGATATATAGTCACAGAACTCTGCATTGGCCAGCAAGCCTGTGTTCAACTTCCAGCTTCCTTGATGTCTATGCGAATCCAAGGGGAGACATAACTCAAGTATGTGAGGAGCATGATCGGAAGTTACTATGGCAGTGTAATCTGTAGATCTGACGGAAGGTAGAAGGGCCTTATCAATAAAGAAAACATCTATGCAGGAGTAGACTTGATGGACAGTAGAGAAATAAGAAAAGTCTTTAGCATTAGGGGGAAAGAAACGCCATGGGTCAACACAACCCACCTGATCGTGTTGATAAAGTCTTAGATAGTGCTGTTGGTGTGGTTGATGTAACCGTCAAGGCTTGGATTAACAACACAGTTTAGATCTCCTCCTAATATTAGATGATGAGTGTCTAATTTGGTAGATGGGAAAACATCATGGACATAATTTTGGGCTATCCCAATTCGATGCATACACACTGACTAATACAACCGGTGTTTGATGAAGAGTACCAGAAACTATAATGTAGCGACCACCAGGATCAGAATATATGTGATCTGGGATAAACTTAATTCGCTGATGTATTTTGTATTTTATTTGAATTGCTGTGCCTCTGGATTAACTATTGAAATTGGAATTAAATATTTGTCCAACCCATGGTTTACGGAGCCTTATATGGTCAACTGCATGCAGGTGTGTCTCCTGCAAAAAAGCAATATCAATGGAGAGGTACTTTAGGTGTGAGAAAACCCTGGAACGCTTAATCTGCCCCCCCCACTGCTCCTGTTATCTGCTCCTAACATTGTATTTTTAGATACCCTGAATATTATAGTAAACCAAGACTGAGAGGGAGAGCAGCCTGAGAAGCGCATCGCAACCCGCAAGCTTCAAAGTGGTTATATTCAGTGACATAACAGCGCACAGGTGCCCACACAGCCAAAGCTGTGCTGTAGTTAGTTAGACTGTAAATTATGAAGTGGCGGTGCATAGTCCCAAGGTTATAATGGCATTAAGCATGAAACAAAAAAAGCTCTTTAAGCTCGATTCTCAAAATCCAGGTGTGGCCAAGCCCATTGTGAATGGCTTGGTGACAGGCCATCTCCATCTCCGATAGTAGAGTTGGCCGCAAACTCATCTGAAAGGATTGACAGATGACAGAAGGATCCAAGGAGCTATTTAGTAAACGTGAGTTGCGGTCACCCTCCCAGCTTTCAAGTTCTTGAACAAGGGTTTCGAGCGTGGTGCCGCAGGGTCAACTGCCATGTTGCTACCAACTTTAGCACCCTGTTGCTTTTCGGTTTTACCCCCCGGTTTTTCTGCTTTGATCATTCGACTCTCGAATTCGAAGCAAAGTAACTTTCGGATTAAAGCACTGTGTGTTGAAAAAGGGTATTTTATGAAAAGGTTATACCGAAAAGGCGTGGAGCTCGGACAACGTGCGTCTTACCACCACATTGCGTAACTGGAAGTCCACTTTGTCCTTTTGATAAAAACAAATGTATCGGTTATTGTATATAAAGTATATAAAAATATAAATACTTAATACAGCAGTAAAATGCAACAGGGACCATTGTACGGCACAATTACGGCACAATTACTTTTTTAATTACATTTTGCCACAGACCTGTGTTTATTTGTCAAAACATGTAGAAACACCAGGCTAGTAAAGGAGACCTGCCTCTTTTTGGAACTGTGCTTTTAATTAATTAAAGGATAAAGTCAACTGCAGAATACTCATTGAGAGCCCCAGTGTACATTATTTCCATAGCCATGGTGAAATACAAGGATATTGGATTAGAATAATATATTGTACTGTACATGTTTATATCTTTATAACAATCACCTGTTCTTGACCTCAAAGATTAGAGGAAGCAGCTCTCTCTGAACCGTTACCTAAAATGATTCAAGAAAATGTATATGATATTCACCTTGGTGCCTGGGCAGTCACTTCTTTAAGGTTTTATGTACATAAGTATCAGCTAAAGCCATAAAAGGGCTTATTAAAAGTATGGTCGTTGAGACTATGAGCCGTGTAGATAAATGGTCAAATGATATTAATGCGGCGGCGAGTCGGCAGAATGGACAGGGACTAGAAGGAAAACTGGCAGTAAATCTGCAATGACCACCATAAATCATCTAATTATGAACATGCACGGTTTAAGTAGCAACATCAGTCACTGCACCGCATGCTTTTGTGTCATCTATCTGCCACATTTTCATCTCCTATTTGTCATCCTGCCTGTGCATTTGCAGAAATTATTGATGTCCCCAACTGGGACTCTCATCCTTCTTCCAGTACACAGTCAGTGCTTTTGTTCCTGACATTCCAGGAAGTTTAACACTCCTGGCAACTTCACAAGAAAACACTCATTTTCCACCAGCCTCTATAAAATGCCACAGGGCTCAAACAGCTACCAGGCTGCAGATATTGTGTACAGGGAGACAGTCCAGTTTAGTGTCAATCAACAGAAAAAGAATATTTCGAACTAGAACTGTAAGAAGATATATCGGGGTCTAAGCATCTAAAGCAATTTAGAAGTGAAGGTGCTTTGAGGGCACTGACCACTGCCAGTTTTTTCCAGTACTAAACAGCCTTCGAGTCCAAATCAGCACCAAAACCATTCAGAATAAAACTGTTTATACCTGACTCATGAGTGTTAAAAATGTCTGTTAGTTTTAGTCCCGTTATCTGCTTAAAACCAAAGTTCAAAAAGTTCATTTTCAGGTTCACTGAATTAGTTTACACTGTAGAAAAAAACTCTGAGTCTGAAGTATAGTTATCTCCAAACTAAGATAACATATCATGATGCGCAGAATGAAATGGGATTGTGAAACAATATGACCAGAAATTACCAAGGAATTGAATTGAATTGAAATGTCTTTAATGTCCCCAAGGGGCAATTTGGTTCACAAGTATAGATATTAAATCAAACTGAAAGGAATAGATGCCAGTTTAAAGTGACAACAATACCAGATTATGTCATTCAAATTAATGGATCACTTAAGTGTTCCCACATGTTCTGGAAAAACAAAAAAATTAGAGACTTTTCCAGTCATGGAAACAACTGGAAAATGATTAAAATTACCAAATATCCTGGAAATCATCTACGTTGTCTTAGAAAAATCCCCTCTCTCAGATCACCTACATAAACCTAGGTTAGAGGAAAACTGTACAGCTAATCGGAGGTGTCCCTGATTTGAATTCTGACCACCTGCATCATTAAAAAAGGAAGAATAAAACTGACCCTTTGAGCAAGTGCTGTCCTGTATTATTAGGAAAACTCCTGAAAAATGTCCTGGAAAGGTCCTAGAAAATGATTTCTTAAAAAGAGTGGGTACCATGAAAATGGTGGAACAGGAAGAATAAAGCACCCATAAAGCACTACAGTACAGATTTGCCAAAAAAGGTAAAAAAAAAAAACCCAATACAGAAATAGAGTGGCAGGTAAAAATTATTATGAATATCTATTAATCTGTCACTTATTTTACAATGAATCCACAAATTGTTCTGAGGATAAAATGCCCACTGTAATTTATTTGTATTTGTAATTTGTTGTTCCGTCTGACCAACACTCCAAAAACCCAAGATATTCAGTGTGTAATGATGTACAGCAGTGAAAAATAGCAAATTGCCTGGACTTGATTAAGACCAAAGACTGTGGTAGATCAGTCTATGGCTCAACATTAAGGATTGCCTGACTGCCCGGGACAAGTAAAATTCCATGTCTGGCTAGTGAATCTACTGCCCGATTGGACAAGTGGTAAAAAAAGGACTGAGCAGTCTTCTCATCTATTACCAAAATGGTTTGCTCGCGAGAAATGATGGTGGCTACGAGCACAAGCAAACATTTCAATTTATGTAAAATTATTATGTAAAAAAGTTTTGTGCAAAGGAATTAAAGGCCTGTCCCATATAGAAACCTATTCCAAATAGCTGGTTGAGTTCAGTGATAAAAGCAAATAAAAGCCTGGGGTAAGTTTTATGGTATTCAGTATTCCAGTATCCTGCAAACAGGAGTTTAGTTGGGTGGTGTTAGAGGCCAGCCACATGTATCCTCAGGGGGTAATGGAGATATTTTAGCATTCTGGAATCTGATATTAGATCAGAGAGTTTCAGGATTGAAGAGGCTTTAGGGCCCGAAGATGCCTGCATCTGTGGATTAGATTTACAGCTGTAGCACTTGCTGACATAGTTATGAAGGAGCCTACTTGCCTTTGCAGAGCGGTTTTGAAGTGACATTTTATGCCACAGTTTGATAATCATTATTTTACTGTAATGAATATGATGAAAATTCTCTCAGCAGCAGAAACTGCCCAATTTGCTCCTGCATTGTAACATTCTGACGATGGGGCAGGGTGGCAGGAAGCCAGCCAGCTTAAAGCTTGCCTGTGTACCTGTGACTTTTTCCACTCACTATTTATAATCTGTACCTCTAAACTTCTCCATCTGTCTGATAAAGCATGTTAACAATGTTGAAACTGCTCCATATCAGCAGCAGAGGGGCTTCCTTGTGCTCGGATGCAGGCAGACTGCAGTCCAGGTTAAGGAGATAGCCCCAGCAGCCCCTTGTGCTTTGGTCACCCAGTCCCCCTACATCTATCAGGCCTCCCTGTGGGGACGCTCCCTCGGTGCTGCAGGCAGAGCGAGCACGTCCAGATTAGAACTTCCTGAGGGAAAACCTTGTCTGTTTAGTGACAGACTCGGTCCCTATGAGATAAGTTTTCTAATTAACCCGCGTGGCAGCAATGTACCTGAGATGCAGGGGGAGAATGAACTGGCTGTCTGCTGCTGCTTTTCACCTGCCACATACAACAGGTTTCTTTTGCCTCTCCTCACAACTCTGCTGCGAGGGAACTTTTACAGCTCTGCTTTTGCTAACACTTTATTTGGACTATCTACACTCTCAGCCAACACAAAGCAGGTGCTCAATGAAGTGTCACTTGTAGGAAACCCTAACTCTGCAACACTAGCATAAAAATTATCTTTTCTCTCTCTCTGGTGTAGAGTTTTTGGTAAAACTGTGTATGAATTTGCTCATTTAACAACGTCCTTACTCCAGTTGGATGAACAAACCACTCACTAGTAGAGATGAGTACCGGAAACTGGTATTAAATGGGGCCCCAGGGCTAAATTATGGAAGTATCATAAACTCTGACATTATTAGTTCTGCTGTAGATTCTGGAGAAATAAAGACATTCAGGCCCACCTACATTAATATCTGGTGGCCACAGGGAAACTTTTGTGGCCATTGGGTCATGTTAATGTCCAACACATATATATGTAAATATGTGTGTTTATATATGAACATGAATAAAATTGTGGACCTTGTTTTGGCAGAAACTAAACACCCCAGCTGTTCTGAAAGCCCCAAAAGAGAGGAAGCTCAGCAAGAAGGAGGGAGGAACCCCAGGGAAGACATCCAGCCTGCCAGCAATCCTCTACAGGTGAACTCAGATTCTAGGCAAAGAATAGAAGAGATTAAAGAAGAAGGTTAAATGATAAAGTAAAGATAGTTGTTTTAAATATTACCAGTTGCCAGGGGCAAAAACTGTGTGCCTTACTGTGTACGTCCATCATTCTTTTTAGACCATTTGGGGATTTCTCAGACCCCATGTTTTTTTTGGGCTAAATGATGTATCTCACTACTGTGTTCCATCATTTTTACATTCTAAAATCATGACTAAAAAACAACAATACCCAGCCTTTTTTTCACACATTATTTGACCTTTTCCTGCAGCTGCGGCATCTGCAAGAAGAATCAGGACCAACATCTGCTGGTGCTATGTGACACTTGCAAGCTCTACTACCACCTGGGCTGCCTGGAGCCACCACTGACGCGCATGCCCAAGAAGACCAAGAACAGCTACTGGTGAGAGAAATGGTTGAGGGGGCGAGGAGGTGGCGAGGAGGTATACTGTGTAAGGACACATGAGGTTATACTGAAAGTAAGGGACCTTAAAGCCCTCTGCTGAAAAACGTGCCAAGTAAATAAATGTCAGTGGCAGAGAAATACAAAAGTGTATTGTATGAACTCACTGTAAGCTTGAGGAAACAGGACTGCTGGAGAGCCTTCTGGGAAGGTTACACAGTTCAAGATTTCTCAAAAGGCACACCCGCATATCAATGTGGTACTCTGTCAGTCCTGACTGTCTGCTGAGGCTCCACCGTACATGCAACTGTGCTTTACAACATAATTCAACAAGACAGTAAAGACAGTACAGAGAATATGAGAGGACAGGTGGAGGCAGGGCCACGGTAGGTTTTCTTTCTTTAAAGGGACAGTTCACCTCCTCTTACCTGTAATGCTATATATCCATCTAGATAGTTTTGGTGTGAGTTGCTGAGTTTCGGAGATATCGGCCGTAAAGACGTCTCCCTTCTCCCCCAATATAACGGAACCAGATGGCACTGGCTTGTAGTGTTGAAAGCACCAAAACAAACATTCCAGAAATCCTAACCTGGTTACTCAAGATAATCCACAGACCTTGTTGTGAGCAGTTTTATGTAGGAACTATTTTCTCTCTACGTATCTACAGCCATGTCAGTCAGTGTAGTGGAACAGACTTGCAGCAATCTTTTCGGCATCATAAAGAACCTGAGACACTTCATCATGAACCCTAATTATATTTGTGTATATGTATATAAGTTCTGTTGTGTAAAAACTCTTGAAAAATGTGATTAATGGTATCGTCTGACTGAACCTGAGCTGTAATGTTAGCTAGCTCAAAAATGCTTGCTTACTGTAAGTCGCAAAATGTATGTAATGTAATTTCATAATTAAAATTTTAGAGAGAGCAGCAAAGAGCAAATTTGCCATGACGCATGGTTCTAAATGCTACAATATCCATGAGCATTGGAGAAGACAGTCAGAGGCGCAAATTAGAGCGATAGCAAAGTCAAAACTCTTTGTTGGTGCAGTTGAGAACAAAACACAGAGCCATTGTTGCCAAATCCCTCCAAAATTGCTGATTTTTTCAGTTTTCTCAACAGAGTAAGCCTTTTCCACCTTCACAACTGTAACACGTTCTGGCGGCACTGCGGCAGAAACACCATAAAGCTGTTCCCGGTCGAATTTCATTGTCGTAGTAGTTAACTTCTTTACCAAAGTTTTTTTGTACACAGGCTGTACCTTGGACTTTTTTTTTTTATCAAAGAACCAGATATTTTCTGACGCAGCTGTTCATTTTTCCCAGGAGAGTTTCATGCCGGTCCAGACAAGACAAAAAATGATCCAACTGTGAGGCCTGTGGGAAAAATGAACAGGACTTTCACTTCCAGAACCAGGGCACCCAAAAGAGCAAAAAAGAGAGATTGATAAGGTTTAGGATACTGTACCCTATGACATAGGGTTGGGGGATTGGATGAATACATTGGCTATCATTTTATTTAGCTAATTTAATGATCTGTTATTGCATGAATAGAGAATTGATGCTTCAAAAGAATCAGTCCCTTTGACAATCATAGTTACATAGTAACATCATAAGACATCTTCATTATGTGAGTATTGGATTGCTTTTCACATTTATTCTTTGCCTGCTAGGCGCTGTAACACATTAGGATCCACAGTTTGTTTATTCGTATTAGTCCTGACATTTGAGGCCATTCGGTGGCAGCAGGATTATCAGATGACGGATGCTGAGATGGTGGAAATGTCACAGTCGCTTCTCTCCACTACTGCGGTTCCTTATCTGTTTTAGTGCATCTGTTTTTCCACACGATAGCTCTAAGATATTCTCTCGCGTACCAGACTACTCCTTCCAACGTTTGATGAAAACGGGAGAGGCTTTTTCTCTTTCTTGAGCAAATTAAAGAAACGAAGAGATGCAGCTGCGCTTACTATATTTTGTGTTTGTGTAACACAATCTGGAGTAATTCATTTTAGCATTCATTTCATGTACAAAGCTCTTTTGGTTTATTGGGTGAAAATTAGGAACCACTGAATGATAAAAGTGTGTGGATGCAGAGTCGTAGCTAATTACAGAAAGCCACAGAGACTACAGGGTGCTGTGCTCTTTTGTACAACAAACAGTGGAGGCACAAGCATTCCATTCCCACGTCTATCTTTGACTTGATGCAGTAAATATCAGCATTATCTAATGGGGCTGTGCATTTGGCCAGGAGCTCTGATAAGGTTTGGGTATAGACTGGATGCTGAAACAATTCCAGGAACTGAGGATGTTTACCTCAGTTTCTTTTCACTTTGGGGTTGAAATACTGAGTGTAGTGGAGTGCTGTTCATAAAGGATCCATCAACAACTCCAAAACACAGTGATGACCGTCATCTCCACTCAATATATTAATGTTTCCTAAAAGGTTTCAGGGTTGGAGCTTTGAATGATATACACTCAAGTGTCCAGCAGAGTTATAACAGTTTTGTATTTTTCATTACTTTCTGATTTTGTTTTCAAGTCAGTTCAGTTTCAGTTAGTTCATTTGAGTTGTATTTGTTTGAAAATGTGTAGTTTTATTTGAGCTTTTATTAGTTTCCTAATTAGTCTTAGTTTATATATTAATATGGGGATATTTGTCAGAATAGGTATTACAGTACAAACATTAACTCAGTCATGTAGACATTCCAGGCTCAATAAACATTGACACTAACGCCTTCTCATGCTTGTTGTGTTGACGGATTTGACCAAATTGATAAAGATTAAAATTGAAGACATCTTGGGTATGTTTTTATTTTATTTTGTTAGTAGACGATATCGTTTGTTTTAATTAACTTCACACCTCGTTTTTGATTATAATAACCCCCTAGAATGCAGGGTTTTTATATGATATGTTAAAATTGTCCAACCGGCCGCTGTCAGCCCAATTGCTCAGCCCTAGTATCTAACAAATTGCTTTATTTCTAAATACTGAAATCTAAAAGTTAACAAAAATCTTCCTGCGAAGGACGTGAATGTGCATATAAAATTTCATGGCAAGGCTCAAATCAAAAGGATCAGAGGATCACGAAAGTCAGACAGATTAGATTTCATTTTTTTGGGATCATGAATTTCTGTAAATTACTGATCATTCTAAACTTCATAAAGATTGTAATTGTTAAAAGGCTGCTGCAGTACATTTTACAAGTATTGCTTTTACTATGCACTTCTGCTGTAGTAATACATTATGAGCAATTTACACAAAGTAAATAAAAACCTCCACGAGTTCAAATAATAGTTCAGATGTTTTTGGTAATTGGTTTTGTTGCTTTCTTCCTGAGAGTGAGCTGAGTAGATGGATGTCAGTCTCATGTCTATATGTTTAATACAGAGCTGGACTCAGGATGTAGTTAGCCTAGCTTAGCATAAAGGCTGGAAACAAGGTGAAAAAGCTAGCGTGGCTTTGTTAAGAAATGGGAGAGAAGGAGAGAGGTCACCAGTAAAAGTCACAGAATACTTTCTTCCCTCTTAAGGACAAACAGAATGATAAGTATTGGCTGACATTCAGCAACATTAGAATTTGTGTGAACAGGTCTTTATCTGAATGAAGTCAAACATATTGGTAGATTGATTTTTCTCTTTCATTGTTGTGTCGCTGGTGTTTTTTACCTTTTGATGAGGACAAGCTGTGAAGGCCTGTTTTTCTTTTACAGTAAAGACTAAAGATTGGGGCCTTTGATAATAAAATCAATACAGTTCATTGAGAGGAGCTCTCTTCCTCCTCCTCAGGCAATGCTCCGAGTGCGACCAGGCCAGCAGCGATGAGGCAGATATCGCCATGGAGACGCTACCAGACGGCACCAAGAGGTCCAGGAGGCAGATCAAAGGACCAATCAAATTCATCCCACAGGAGATGTCGCCAGAGCCCAAGAAACATCAAGTGAGAGGCACGGTGTGTATCGACACACTGGAAATGTAAAACATGATCAGTAGATATCATTCTGAAGACAAAAACTGTTCTTATTATGGCTCAAAATAATGAAAAGTTTGTGTGCTGAACTCATCCTTCACTCTAATTAGAGTGTAACTGGTGTCAGGGTTGGCTAATTGATAGATCTGTATTGATTACAAATAATTAACTTGAGTTCTCATTAGTCTCATTCAACCCTTAAGGCTTTAGAAAGTTGCACAAGGTGCACAGAATAAAGCACTTTTGTTAAAGGCAGTGTGACTGAATACAGTCAGTGTGAGAAAACACTTTATATTAAGGTACACACATTCAGTGTTAAGTGCTTGCTTTATTAGTCATTATAAAGCACTTATTAATACCTTATTCTGCATATTCTACAACAGGTAGGCCACTCACAAAGAGTATTCAGTTAGATCTCCTAATGATCAAGGGACAAGGGTCTCACGTCCTCATTCTCCACAATATGGAGTGTGGACTGGTAGCTGGAGATGTTCCCTTGAGCGAGGCAACCTTAACCCCAAGAAACTGCTCATGGGCCCGCTAACGTGGCGAGCCAATCACTCCACCATTTCTCTCCCTGTTGCATGAGTGAAAAAGAATTTCCCCATTAATAATAATAGAGTATATCTTCTATCTAATGGCATTTGGAAGAATCCAATATGTTCCACATTCTAAAGTGACAAAGCAATATCTTAAACCTAAACTCTGATCATCAATTCAAGTTGAAAACAAGTTTAATAGTTTAAAGTCTTGTCATTTTGGTCCACACTGAGCAAAGCATAATAGTTATGAATGAAAGAGCCAATATACTACTAATATGTATGAATATATGTACCTTTAAATGGATTTGTGCTTGGTAGAACTAAAGCAGGGTGCATACAGTCAACAGGAAAAAAGTATATTTCAGCAAACAAAAAGAAAATGGTTATCCTTTGTTGTATGATAACTTCATTTGATTAGAGTCAGGAGATGAGAGCAGGAAGGAAAGATCCTGGTGGGAAATGACTGAAACAAAAGGCTTCTATTGAGGGAAGTTTTAGTCTGTCTGCTGCCACACACATTTCAAAAACCTTCACAAATACTTCAGAGTAAAGTAAGACTTTGAATTCGGTTTGCATTGTCTCTGCAGGGCAGTCTAGTAGTTTTAAAGGTGTTATGAAAAATAGTAGCGTAGAAATGTGCGGAAGTAAAAACTAAAGAGACTGAAAAGGCTAAAATCTCAGCCTGCAGCTCAGTCAGGTAGTGAGGCATCAGGCCTCCACAAAATTACAGCATTGATGTCTGCTGCAAGTGAAGTGGAGTGGTTTAATGAAAAAAATGATCAAATGATTTTTGTCATTAAGATAAAATCTCTAGAAGATGGTTAAGAGGATTTAGCACACATGCAGTTAAATGTCAGTCCAAAGTTATTAAGAAGTTAAAGGACAGGCTTTCCTGCTTTCCCCTCCAAAGCTACTCAAACATCCAACAGGCCCTTCTGTTGGCAGCTTAACAGTTACAGCCCCTGCAGGGAACACGTTTTATCACCTGTGAAGGTACCAACTAAAATAACACAATACAGAAAATGAGAACAGCAATAACACTAACCAAGTGCTAAAATAAAAAAACATCACATATTAGCTAGTGCTTATAATAATAATTTACTTTTTTTTTTTAGAGTTTTGTTGGCATTCTACCAAGTCATAAATTCAACATAAAATACTATTTTTCCTAAAACCCCAAAATATGACATAAGTCAATATAATGAGACGGCTAATTAACAATAGATATGTGCATTATTTCAGTAACAGCTAAGTTAACTGTTTAAAGCTGTAGTAAAACTAAAATATCCTGACAGTAGTACATGAGACAGATAATCTGTGACAAGCTCCTCTGGCTCCTCCTAGTGCTCCCAATAGTATTTGCAAGAATCCACTGGGCCAATCAGAGAAAGATGGGTGATTGTTGAGTCTCATTCCCAGGGTGTCAAATACAGACACCTTGGGACTCAACAATCCACTATTTTCAAGCTTCAAGCGTCTTTATATCTGTCTCGGCTCTGATTGGTTGTTTATGTTCAGGCCCGGTAGATTCTTTCAAATGCCATTAGGATCACTAGGAGGAGCCAGAGGAACCTGATTTTTTTTACTGATTATCTGTCTCGTGTACTTCTGTCAGAACAGTGAAAAATATTTTAACAATATTGACAAAAAGTTATTTCTATATAAATTTCCTACTGCAGCTTTAAATGTTCAGAAAGTACATAGACTGTTTAGGCTACAACAGTGTCAGTGTTACCATAAATCTTTTGGCTGTTTCCCTACCTCTTTTTTTTTCTTAGACCATAAAAGAGCGACAGTGTGTGGACTGTGTCAGCTTGTAGTGTTAGCTGTGAGAGGGAACAGAACCATCTCTCCATCCCTCACTGGATCCTACTTATCTGCACCGACCACGCTCTGATCCTGCGATACAGAGCAGCCTCCCCACTCCCTCAAGAAACACTCCAGATTGATATCTGACAGCTTGGTGGTGAGGGAGGGGTGGGGGGTGGTGAGGGAGGGGTGGGGGGTGGTGGGGGTTGTCTTTCACTTCCCTTTTCTTTTTCCTACTGTCAATATGTGACCCAGTGCCACTCACCTGGGACTTGATGGAACTTTTCTTCTTGTGTCTGTGGATGCTCACAGCAGAGTCAGTTCCACTGAAGCTGCTCCTAACTACAGTCTCTGTTACAAATAGAGAAATGAACAGAGAAAAGAGGAGTGTCTCAGCCACTTCTCCGCTCCCTGCACTCTATCTGTCTTAGAGGGGAAATAGCGGAGTGTTGGAGCACAGTGGCAGTCTGGGTTAATGTATTTTTCTGTTCAGGTTTGGAAACCCTGGGCCCAGACATGTGCCGAGGACCCTGCTGGAGCTCTCAGGGATTAAGCAGCTTTCTGATTTTTCTCGCAGCCGCAGCCACTCGGGCGAGGCACTTCAGTGCAGCATTTATCTTCAAATGCAAGGCGTGCAATGGCAGACGCTAAAAGGGCCCTGCTTTGCATTTTTAATGCTTTTTACCAGGGCACCCAAGCACTGGCACTTCTCTAAAGCCATGTTTCAATTTTTATCAGGACTGGCTAATCGACCTCCTGCTGGCCTCCGGGGCTTGTGTGTGTCTGTGTCTCTGTGTCTCTGTGTGTGTGTGTCTGTGTGTGTGTGTGTGTGTGTGTGTGTGTGTGTGTGTGTGTGTGTGTGTGTGTGTGTGTGTGTGTGTGTGTGTGTGTGTGTGTGTGTCTGTCTGTCTGTCTGTGTGTCTGTCTGTCTGTGTGTCTGTGTGTGTGTGTGTGTGTGGTGTGTCTCTGTGTGTGTGTGTGTGTGTGTGTGTGTCTGTGTGTGTGTGTGTGTGTGTGTGTGTGTGTGTGTGTCTGTCTGTGTGTCTGTCTGTCTGTGTGTCTGTGTGTGTGTGTGTGTGTGTGTGTGTGTGTGTGTGTGTGTGTGTGTTGGTATGTCACGAAGGAGCTTGTGTGCACACATGCACACATTTACATTTGGCCAAAAGCGCTGACATGGCCCAGTGCCACCTTCATGAAGCCGAGAGTCTTATTCATGGCCTGTAGTGGGTAGAGCCTACTGGAGGAGAACCTTTAAAGTCAACCTGTGAGCTGAATTTTATTTAGCATGTATGTAATGTAGCAGCTGTAAAAATTAATGTTCCATAGCACACCCTGTCTGATTTTACACAGCCCTGCTAAAGATAGAGACCAGCTCAAACACTCTATCCAGACTGAGCTTCATGCAGAGACAACTCATTAACACACATTTGTTCTTCAGTGTGTGCTACTGAAGGGAAATCTAACTCCGTTTGGATCCGTTTTTAAGGTCCAGTGTGTAACATTGAGGAGGATCTATTGTCAGAAATGGAATTTATACATATGTTTTCATTAGTGTATAATTACCTGAATATGAGAATCATTGTGTTTTTGTTACCTTAAAATTAGCTGTTTTTATCTATAAAGTCCATCTTCTATGGAGTCCACCATGTTGAACTGCTATGTCTCTATAGTAGCCCAGAACAGACAAATCAAACACTGTAGATAGGGCCGTGCTGGGAAGGGAAGGGTGAAGTGGGGGAGTTGCGAATAAGAGCATATGGCATACCTAGTTAAGACATGTAGTCATAAACCTGTAAACAACAGCAGAAAAAAAAACAGGGTCATCTTTCTGACAACAAACATGGTGGCACCTACTGATAGACCGATTAGTTGAGAAATAGTTGATTGTTGAGTCTCTCCCTTAGGGCTATGGGACCCTGGGAATGAGACTCAACAATCAACTATCCTCAAGCCTCCAACCCAAAGGACCCTTCTATCTTTCTTGGCTCTGATTGGTTGTTTTCGTTCAGGCCCAGTGGATTCTCCATTAGGAGCACTAAGAGGAACTTGATTTTTTCTACCAGATTATCTGTCTCATGTATTACTGTCAGGATATAGTGAAAGTTTTAGCAATAATGCCAAAAAGTTATTTTCATGAAAATGATTGACTGCAGCTTTAATGTACTCATTTGATGCAATGATATAGCCATTTAAACCTTAAAGCTAATGAAGGGGTGGTTTAAGGGGGGGTTTAGGGTTTGAGAGGCTTACTGAATGCTCCACTAATGGGTCTTGATTTACTGCCGCCTGCTACCACCACAGTGCTAACATTAAAACCTCCCATATGAACATATGCCATTAATCATTTGGAAATTATGAGAATTAAGTTAATATATCTAGTTACTACCACTTTCTATGCTCTGTTAATTTCTCTAATCCTGTGTGAAATGATTCATGCTTGTTAAAGATGCACTGATGTACTTAATTAAAAGATTGATTTTTGCTTGGGACTTCTAAACTGCCTGCAGTTTTAATTTCCTCACCTGAGCAGAGCCTGAGATTAGCTGTGCTGTGTGGCGTTTTTTAGCTGAACCAGCTACCAAAGTGCACCCTGCTCTCTCCATGGCCGTATAGATTGCTTTAACAGACACCGCTTTAATGCAGAAATAACAAAATAATGTCAGGCCTTTTGTTTGGTGGTGCAGTCGCAGGAGAAATAGTGAAGGTCTGTAGGAGCCAATTGGCAGCATTCTTGCAGTTAGCATTCTTAATGATAAGTGCTCCATCTGGCGAGTGGTAGCAAGCCAAAGGCGACAGATGGAATTGTTTTCACAATCTGTTTAAATATGTTGTCGATTTTTCTCCCCCTTTTAAACCCTCCCCAGCAGCTCTGACGCTCGCTTGCTTGCAACAAGAAGGAGATGCTTGATTTTTATTTCCTTTCATGCTCTGTTCAGTCTCCTGCAACCAAAAAATAAAAAGAAAGACCACAATTGTTGCGCACACACACACATTTATGATAATCCATTAACCATACTTTAAGATCATGTCTAGTTCCATTGGTAAAAAAGTAAAAGTACTTACTGTAGTAATTAAAGCCAACAAACATTATCAATATTCTGATCAACTCACAACTTCAGTCATCTGGATTCTGGCAGCCTTGTTCCGTCAACATATTTTGATGTGCATTTTGAAATATCACATTAGAAAAGTTTGAAACAGCAAAGTTTTAAAAACTTTCTCAATTTTGCAAAGAACCTTATGCACTTAATGTGAAATGGAAAAACTTTAAAAAAAAAACGTACTTAAATTCTTCAAACATATCAAACATATACATGACTGATGAGCCGTTTCTGCTCCAACAGTCTCCTCATCGCTCCCATTGCTCTACATCCATGATCTCTCCACACTGATCTGATGGAACCTTCCTCATATTAATACATGAAACTAACAAAAATATTCAATTTTCTGCATTGTTTTCTACCGCATGAGGTTCAACTGGTGCTTTTTTAAAGTTTTAAAGTCACTTTGTTCTCCCCATTCTTCTGGTTTTCCGTATGAAGAATTGGTGCCACCTTACATCTTGATGAACCAGCGCTTATTAATTGCATAGCGGTAGTGGACAGAAACAAGCATTCATTTGCATTTTCTTTTACTGATTTTCTTGAAATATTACTGAAATTTGTGACACATTTTGATTTAGACAGAGATTTCAGCAAAAATGTTCACTCAAGATTTGTAGTGTGTTGTGTTTTGACCACTGCTTAAAAGTGAAATGTTTGTGTTTTGCAGAGAACCAGAGGGCAGAAGAGGAAGAGAGTTCCTATCTGTGAAGACAGAGAAGATAAAATTGAGGTTTGTCACTTCATTCTGCTGCAGGAAACTACTGCTTACATGCTCCTGACATATTCAAGTTGTTTATGAACCAGTTCAGCTCTGTTCTTTACGTTCACTGATATTTGCTTTAATTGCCCCTTTAATTACTTTAATAATAGGTAATTGCCAACAAACAAATAATAAGCAAACAAATTTCGTGAATTCAAAGTTATGTCTTCTAATCTTTCCAAACAGCAGATAAAATACCTAAATTGTTATAAAGAAAAGCAAGCAACTTTTTGCATTTGTTATGAAGATATACAAAACAGATGTTTGGTATTTTTACTTGATATATAATTAAGACGCTTGGATAATTTATGTCAGTAGATTTACTGATTCACTGCTGATTGACTAGCAGAAAGAAGCAGAAAGAAATACTTCAAAATTTTGTAAAATGAACTTGTTTTTCTTTCCAAGAGTGAAAGTAATGGTTTTGGCATTAAATACAGAGCTGGAGCCAGGAGGTGTTTAGCCTAGTTTAGACTGAACTTGTAGGCCTTTTCCACCGACACCGTTTCAGTTCGCACACCTAGTTTTGTAATGTTGGATATAAATTGGTTTGGTTCAGAACCTGAAAAGTTTGTTCCCACATGGAACCAGACGTTTTTATTGGTGACCAAAGTGGACATGTCATATTCTACAGGTCATTGTGCATTGTGCAGCGCACTCCATTGGTGAATTCAGTGGTTCTGCCCAAAACTGGTGGAAAACAGGGGCTGGTTAACTAAAAGGTATCAAGGTTTCAAGAATCTTGAACAGAGCAGGTTAAAGAACCAGAGCTAATTTGATGGACAAACTATAAGTCATTGGTAGTTATGTGCTGTAACAATTTTTTAGTAACATGAATGCCCTAAAGTTGTGGTGCAACTGTGGTGGTCTGTGGCACATCAGCTTTCAGTGTTGATTGGCTGTTACTTGTGACTTGTAAACAATCAGACAGTGCTGTGGGTGGGACATTAACTGTTAACTTTTTTTCTGAACCGTGAGTTATGGGATCTGCTGCACCCCAACCTTAAAGGGTAAATACGATCATTTATAAAACTCGCATGGGGGACCATATATAGGATTAGGGTTAGTCATATATGCAGTCAATATGAGGTATGAGGCCTCACACCGGGCATTGTAAACGCATATATTGGTACAAAAGATGTAGTAGAGTAATTGCACTTAACTCCGACTATCAGAAGAATCTGTATTTATACTGAGTAACAGAAGTAAACTTGCATGAAATTCACCTCGGGGCACCGCCCTTGAAAAAGAGAAGAAGATAGACAATTAATCAATTCTGGAGGTTGCTACTAAGTTCTTGACTCTGTGACCGCAATACTTTATACACACAAACCACATAATCAGCTGCTTCTTCCATAGATCTGACCCAGCAAAACTAGGATAAATTTGTTCTCATTGGCTTTTTAATTTTTTAATCATCTAAAATCCCAAAGTCACTCTCATGAATTATGTTCAGGACATATTACTCTAGTGCACTGTCCGTCTCTCCCCAGTTTAACATTTAATTCCTTTTTGCATCCCAACCACCAACAAGTGCCCATATAGCTCTTGATTCTAATCAGCAGTGTTTCCATAGGAACCACTGCCACGAGAACGGCGACAACGCCAGTCTGCAATGCAGAAAAAACCCAAAGCTGACGACACAAGGACTGAGTGTACAACCTGCAAAGGACCAGGCGACAACGAAAACCTAGTCAGGTGAGGGAACGTGTGTGTGTGGCTCAGAGAGGGAACAGGGCGGTGGGGTTATTAGACAGTCTCTGTTTGTGTGTGTCTGTGTATGTGTGTGGGTCTCGTGAGGCAGCCATATCCTCCTGATGATTAAAGTTCAGTCTTCATTAAGCTCTGGCCGCCTGGGCTCTGCAGAATGAGGGGGCTGAGGGTATCTTCTCCATAGGCCCCCTATATTGACCTGCCACATACATTTGCACAGTTCATTAAGGCATAATGAATAGCACAATTTATTCAGCTTCTTTCTTGGGATTTCAGGTGTCAGGCATCTAATAACCAGGATTCTCCTTTGACATTGGAATTCTGTGAGAAAATAAAAATCTAGATCACAGCAGGCACCTTGTCAGCATATTGTCATGTGATGAATATCTTGCATTAAAATTGTCCCATCGTACCAGAATTCCCTACATGAACTTGATATTGTCCCTCCAGAACTGTCATTGGCTCATTGCTACTTGGAGTTCTTGACTTTTTGAATTGTTATGTTGAAACATAACGCTAAACATTTCTTTTTACATTCTACCAATTGCTTAACTCGTTAATGTCTACAGTGGGATTTTATCATTTTCCTTTGCAACGCTTAAAGAACTAGCTGAGCTGAGCACAAATCCAGCTTTTCAAATTAGTCAAAGTACGAGACTACACTGCAAGTTTCTCTTAAAGGGGACCTATCAGGCTAATTTCCAGCTCTGTATTCTATATTGAGACTCTGCTAGAGTAGCGTTGCATGATTGACTCTTCAAAAGCACTTATTTATCTTAAACTGGCCATTCATACAGCCCCTCAGTTCATCCTCTGTCTGAAACAAGCGGTCTCTTTAAGCCCCCCTTGCTAAAAGCCCACTTTCTTCTCTTTCTTTGCTGCCCCTTGGCAGGCTTCCTCAGTGCTTGTTAACACAGTTTCGACAGCTTCAGTAACTTAGCTTGGACAACAGTGATGCAGGGCTCTAAATTTGATGGATTTACTGTTTATCAGGCGACACAAATGAGACAAGAATTTGGAAAAATGATGGACGCCACCAGAGCTTTTCTGGTGACCGGGTCTCACTGATTACTGTACAAAAGCACACAACTTTTATAACTTTTCACTGATTTTGATGAAACTGGGTCAAATTTTCAGTTTTTCTCTCTGAAGTCCTCCGGCTTCTCTGCTTCAGCTTTCAGTGATTTACAAATTTCCTAATGGAAATATAGCCTTTGCGGTTAGCTGATAGCTATAAGTAAATGTCCATCAGTAAAGAGTTGATGCAGAGAAGCCGTACAATATTATAGGAAACAACAGAAAATATCTAACTTTCACTCACGACCGAAAAAGCACTTTCTGCATGCAGAAACTTAAAGGTTGAATCCTGACTCCTGAAGAGAGCGGTCGATAACTTAGACAGACTGAGCCGGTCCTTGTACTTTATGTGCGGGCTCAGCCCTGCTCTGCCTTGAGCAGCTATATAAAGAAATCCATGACGAGCCAACATCCGCTAGTTATGTAAAGTAGAAAAAGTGGTTGGAAACGCTGCATTCAGAACTGTCTGAATTCTGAACGTTTGCTCACAGGGTATACTGTTACATATGTTAACCTCATTATTTGACACTTTGGCCTTGTTTAATATCAACATCTGACATTGTAATGATATATATGACATAAAATAAGGAAAAGCATAATAGGTCCCCTTTAACGTGCTATTTTTAAGTTGTTAGTCAGTAGGGGCTGCTTTTTTTTTTTTTTTTTTTACCTCTGGAACTATAGGTTAGTAATTCAGAGCTTCATAATTTTCAATAAATACATATTCTAGACTGTTATAATATAGATTAATTCAGAATTTTTTGGTGCTGTTTCTTCAAAATTATATAAAATGCTTAATCTCCTCCCTTGTTTCTTTTCCACTTCACATCTGCTCGTGCTTTCATTAGCGGTTGATAGAAACTCCACACTTTCTCCATCTTCACCTGTTGTCATGATAAAGTCAGAGAAATGTACATTCTACAGCACTAATTCAGCAGACTCATGCCATATTCACCACTCTGCTAAACATGACAAGAAGTCAAAAACTTTTATAAAAATAACTTTTTGAAGTTAGTTCATTGTTGAGTCTCATTCCCAGGGTCCCAAAGCGTCGGTACTTGGCGCCCTGGGAATGAAACTCAACAAACAACAATTATTGCAAATGCCATTAGGAGCACTAGGAGGAGCCAGATGTCTCATATACTACTGTCAGGATATAGTGACAGTTTCAGCAAATATGACAAAAGTTTTTTATGAAAATTATCCACCACAGCTTTAAGTCCAACTGCTTCTGCTTTTGCTGTTTTTTGAGTTGCTGTTCAGCAGTGCCTGCACAGATGTTTTACATTCTTTACCTTAAACAATCAGCAGAAACTCAACCAACTATTATGATAATTTACCCTTCCTATAATAATAACAGTTGAGCAAGCCTCAGTCAGAATGTTGGTCAACTTCCTCCTTTCCTGTACTTAGATATTTGATGTGGTAGGCTTGTCTATATTAAAAAGACAACCAAATTTTAAAGAGGGTTAAAATATAAAAGTAGTAGTCACATCTTAAGTTAGCTAATATCAGCAAAATGTTTTCGCTAATTAACGATTGACTAGCTAGCTAAAGATTGATTTAAATTAGCTTGTCAGATAGCAATTTGCTAACATTAGCTCGCTAACTTAAGATGTGAGTATATGTTCTCTTTTATCTTAGAAAGAGTAAATTGTATACTCATTCAAGTTAATTATGTAAGATAATAATGATTGCAATCCCTCCCTTTTGTGGTAGGATGTTAATGTAATACACAGGAAGTAGGTAGTATTGTGTTCTATTGACTTTGCCGTTTTGTTTATCCCTCAACAGTGATAGAAAAAAACAAAGTTGAAGCACTGGGAATTATTGTATATAATGTAATAGATATTTAAAGCAGCAGAGTGGTGAGTATGACATGACTGTTGTACTGATTATACTAATGCTGTCAAAATGTACAATATGCTGAAAATAATATGTAAGGTAGGTCGTTTCAACACCCACCATACCCCCATGTTTTTTCCTGCTCTTTGTAAGGCTTTATTTGTGCGTACAGGTTTATTATTTGAGATTCAGCCATTTTTGAATATTTCCTTTTATTTAAGAATTTACCTTTTCACTGTATTATGCAGTAACAACTTCTACTGCTTTTAGAAATATGTCCATGGCAAGAGTAGAATCATGGAAATAGATGAAAAAAAAAGCCCTACACTTGAATACCAAAGTGTTTGTGTTTTATTTGTCATTCTCTTGAAGCAGTGTTTAAGTTGTAAGGGTTGCTGGTCGGGGTGTGAGGTGTGCTGCCCTGACTCTTTGTATCTTTGCATTGCACAGGTTGTGAGAGCCGGGGCAGCCACCTCACCTCCCATAAAAACTCGGGGACAGATGACCAGTTGGCTTAGAGACAGAGAGAGGCAAATTGAGGCGTTTGAAGAATGGTGCTCGAGTCAGACTGAAGAATGTGACCGCCACGCTGCCCCGCAACCTCCTCTGATCCGAACTGGACCAACAACTGTCCAACGAAAAATTGAGCGGAACTGTCAAACATTTTTGGTTAATGTTGGACTGCTTTTACACACTATGACTAACAGGCCAATTGTAGCTCCAGTTGCATCAGTGCAGTTGTCTGCATCTACAAAGTTTTGACCAAGTAAGAAAAAGTTATGTATTGATACAGTTAATGTATTTAACCATTTTGGCAAATAACCACAACACTTCTCTTGTGCTACTTAGGTAGCATTAAACGCAAATAAGTAGAGAATGACCAGAGAGCTTACTATGGAGCTAGTTGATGCATACAAGTGTTCCAGATTTCATTTGTAAGACTCCTAGTCTGTGTCAATACTTTTTTAAAGCTGCGGTAGGTAACTTACTAATTTTTGTCATATTTACTGAAACTTTCACTATATCCTGACAGTAGTACATGAGACAGATAATCTGTGAAACAATCAGGCTCCTCTGGCTCCTCCTAGTGAAGAACAACCAATCAGAGGCAAGCAAGATGGTTGAGTCTCATTCCCAGGGTGAGACTTGGCAATCAGCTATCTTCAAGCTTCCAACCCTATAAAGTGTCTCTATATCTGTCTTGGTTCTGATTGGTTGTTTTCGTCCAGGTCTGGTGGATTCTTGTAAATGTCATAATACCTAATTTTTTCACAGATTGTCTGTCTCATGTTCTACTGTCAGAACACAGGGACAATTTCTACAAGAATGAAGAGAAGTTATTTCTATAAAAGTTACCTATTGCAGCTTTAATTTGATGTATTTCCTTTAGAAACAGAGGTTAGACAGTGACGATCTATCAGCTATGAAGCGGAAAGCAGTTTGATTTGATAGGACAGTCAGTTTTTTGATGATTACTGATGATTACTGATGATTACTAGTGACTATTGAAGACCACTGAAGATGCCCGGTTTTCCTTGAAGAAGCACCGTTTTCTAGATAGTTCAAGTGCCCATGGAATCTTTAAGATTTTCAAATTTGGCTGTTGAGTGTAATAAGTGTGTCCAAAGCCTCTGCAGGAAATGTAAGATTTCGGGCTTGTTGATGGTATTGCTCACAGTGTGGACAGCAAAAAGTGCTAATAAACTGCTGCACTCAGCTGATTTTTGCATCTTCTGACTTAGGGCGCTATCCTGAATAACTTCTCTCTTCGCCTCTTGGTGCTCACCTGTATGCGAATTCTTTTAGATCAGCTCTTTTTTTCCCCCATTGGTATGAGGCTTTTGCCCTCCCCATACAACTGCTCATCAGTACCAATCACTATTTGATTGAAGTCATCTGACACCCAATCACCCTGAGCATTTCAGTGTGAATTCGGTTCACTTCAGACATACTTGAACTTAGGCTCTCCCAGACTTGAGTGTTGTGTTGTGTTTTCTAAGTAAATGGAGGACCAGAATTAAGAAAAAGTCAGTGTCGTGTATAGAAAAGCCAACTTGTTTCTTGTGTTTCATGTGTAGCAGCTACCATAATGCTACCATAAAGCATCTGTAGTAGAACAAACTAATGTAGTTAGCTGTTATAGCACATATTGGTCCAAATGTCTCTAGTGTCTTAAGGCATTTAGAAGTCTTCCTCTGTCTCCACATCTTGAAGTGACAGTTAAACTGACATGTCTTCAGAAAGAAGCCCAGCTTTGTCTCCACATCCCTGGTGGCCCATAGTCAGTGCTGTCAAAACAACAGCTGCTTGCTGCTGTGTCAGGGCTCATGACAAGTGTCATATTCTGCCCTCATATGTCACTCTGTTGCCTATCCAGGGCCTTATATGCATGCTTTCGGGAGCAGTCAAATCCATGCAGTTTACTGCTTTTTGTCTCTCTGGAGTGTGTCCACAAACAAAAGCCACCCTGGGTTTGTCTTTGGCGATGAGATCTTGGTGCAGAATGACTTCCTGACCGGTCCTTTCCCATTACTCCCACTCAACCAGTCTCAAAGACTGAATGCATGGCTATATCTATCTACTCAGATCTGTACAGTAAATTAAACCTGAAAACAAGTGATGTGGTCTTGTAGAATTTGAATGCCAGGTAGCTGTGTAGTGTGACAATGTGTACAGTATTTATTGAAGAGGCCAAACATACATGTCTTTCTTTTTTATGCCTACATACTTGATTATATATCATAAGCTTGTGTTGTAAACAGAGTTCAACTCTAATTTGTGATGTAGTCCTAAAGCGACTTACATATTTTCTTTTAATTGCCAAACATTTGTTTACATGCTTTAAGGGAATATTTCTGATTAACTGTGTACTGTATACTGTGCTATTGTGATACTGTATGAAGTAAGAATGTGAATGTTGCTGCTGTTGTGTATGTGAAGTGTCTCAGCCTCTGGCCTATAGCTCTTGAAAATTAAGCGGAGCTTTAATAAACTCTTGACTTTTTCACCTTATTGCTGCAGTGATAAATGAGTGTCAGCCAGCTAATTAATTGTTCTAAAGGTGCGGCAGCAGCGGTCCGTTTGTGCGTGTAATGCCCTCTGTCATCTGTGATTTATCACCTGGGAAGTGGCCTTCTTGTTGGGGAGAGTGGGGGGTGGTGGCTCAGATGAAATGTTGCTTCTCAGCCCACTACAGTCTAGAAGTGATCTGCAGGATTCTCTTACTGCAGTCACTCACTAGGTTTGATAAGCATAGACATTTTTAAACACTGTTGTAGCTGTTGATGGCCAGTGTCTTGACCTTTTGGCCATTTTCACTAGGGCTGCACGATTTGGTAAAAGAGTAATATTTTTGTAATATTATTTTGACAGATATTGTGATTGTGATATGATTCACAATTAGTGGAAATGATCATTTTTGCGTCACAATTTTCATTTTCGAATTTGAAATCAGGATGATGTAACATTTGTAGCGGCACCACAGTACGTCATTATAATGCTGTTTTGTCACACATTTTACCTTGCTGCTGCAATTTGGATATTGCACTTTCATTGTTCCCATGTGTCCTGGAAAACCTGGGAATTTAGAGACTAGTTTTCCAGTCATGGAAACACCTGGAAGTTGATTAAAAGGATCTTAAAAATCCTTAAGAACATGGGACCCTAAAAGCAGCAACCCATAGAAACCAGATTAAACATTGATCAATCTCACAATCATTTTTGATTAATGGTAATGGTTTAATTCACATCGTAGCAGAGTTGAACCACACTGATTATTTTCAGTTAAAGAATACAAGTCAGAAACAGGGCTCATTGCAGAGAACACAAAGACATTTTTATCTACAGATGCCACAGGCCACCTTCCATGGAGTCCATGTTTCTACAGTAGCCCAGAATGGACAAACCAAACACAGGCTCTAGATAGAGCCTTTCTCAAGTTTCACAGTCACTGTACTTTCCTAAACACATCACAGCCCATTCTCACTAGGTCATCAGCAGATGCCAGCAGTGTTCAGTTAGTTGCAATCTGGAACTTGACCACTAGATTCCATTAAATCCTACGCTGCCCTATAAAGGCTAACCGCAGTAAGTATGCTAACAACGACACTGAGAAAAATTACTTCAAACTTTTTTGACTGGCCAGACAAATGCATTTTTGGTAGAACTGCAGTTACAGTGGGTACGGAAAGTATTCAGACCCCTTTAAATTTTTCACTCTTTGTTTCATTGCAGCCATTTGCTAAAATCAAAAAAGTTCATTTTATTTCTCATTAATGTACACTCAGCACCCCATCTTGACAGAATAAAACAGAAATGTAGAAATTTTTGCAAATTAAAAAAGAAAAACTGAAATATCACATGGTCATAAGTATTCAGACCCTTTGCTCAGTATTGAGTAGAAGCACCCTTTTGAGCTACTACAGCCATGAGTCTTCTTGGGAATGATGCAACAAGTTTTTCACACCTGGATTTGGGGATCCTCTGCCATTCTTCCTTGCAGATCCTCTCCAGTTCTGTCAGGTTGGATGGTGAACGTTGGTGGACAGCCATTTTCAGATCTCTCCAGAGATGCTCAATTGGGTTTAGGTCAGGGCTCTGGCTGGGCCAGTCAAGAATGGTCACAGAGTTGTTCCGAAGCCACTCCTTTGTTATTTTAGCTGTGTGCTTAGGGTTATTGTCTTGTTGGAAGGTGAACCTTCGGCCCAGTCTGAGGTCCTGAGCACTCTGGAAGAGGTTTTCTTCCAGGATATCTCTGTACTTGGCCGCATTCATCTTTCCTTCAATTGCAACCAGTCGTCCTGTCCCTGCAGCTGAAAAACATCCCCATAGCCTGATGCTGCCACCACCATGTTTCACTGTTGGGATTGTATTGGGCAGGTGATGAGCAGTGCCTGGTTTTCTCCACACATACCGCTTAGAATTAACGCCAAAAAGTTCAATCTTGGTCTCATCAGACCAGAGAATCTTATTTCTCATAGTCTGGGAGTCCTTCATGTGTTTTTTGGCAAACTCTATTCGGGCTTTCATATGTCTTGCACTGAGGAGAGGCTTCCGTCGGGCCACTCTGCCATAAAGCCCCGACTGGTGGAGGGCTGCAGTGATAGTTGACTTTGTGGAACTTTCTCCCATCTCCCTACTGCATCTCTGGAGCTCAGCCACAGTGATCTTTGGGTTCTTCTTTACCTCTCTCACCAAGGCTCTTCTCCCACGATTGCTCAGTTTGGCTGGACGGCCAGATCTAGGAAGAGTTCTGGTCGTCCCAAACTTCTTCCATTTAAGGATTATGGAGGCCACTGTGCTCTTAGGAACCTTGAGTGCTGCAGAAATTCTTTTGTAACCTTGGCCAGATCTGTGCCTTGCCACAATTCTGTCTCTGAGCTCCTTGGGCAGTTCCTTCGACCTCATGATTCTCATTTGCGCTGACATGCACTGTGAGCTGTAAGGTCTTATATAGACAGGTGTGTGCCTTTCCTAATCAAGTCCAATCAGTTTAATTTAACACAGCTAGACTCCAATGAAGGAGCAGGACCATCTCAAGGAGGATCAGAAGAAATGGACAGCATGTGAGTTAAATATGAGTGTCACAGCAAAGGGTCTGAATACTTATGACCATGTGATATTTCAGTTTTTCTTTTGTAATAAATTTGCAAAAATTTCTACATTTCTGTTTTTTTCTGTCAAGATGGGGTGCTGAGTGTACATTAATGAGAAATAAAATGAACTTTTTTGATTTTAGCAAATGGCTGCAATGAAACAAAGAGTGAACATTTTAAAGGGGTCTGAATACTTTCCGTACCCACTGTATGTGCTTATTAAATATGTATTCTTTAAGTAGTTTTCATGGCTTAAAAATCATGACTAATTATTTTCAATCAGTGCAGTAACTGCAGTCTTAGTGTCTTTCTGAGCAATTCTAAATGTCTAATTTGATGTGTTATTACATTAAAAAGTTAAAATAGATGAGCAATTAAGAATTTAAGTATTGTGAGGTTTGACCTATTAAGATGACTGGACACATTTATTTTAAGTTTAAAATTGATGTAAACCTGTTTTTAGAATTTTTTTTACAATATATTTTATTCTCTTAACAGAATAATATAATTCAAATTCAGGTTAATAAACATTACACAGTAACTACACCTACTGCGGTTAACATTGGTTTTCGTTGGAATTTGTAGTTACTGTAATTTTTAAGCAGAGCAACTCTGGACTGGAAAATTTGTCACAAGATAAAACATTTGAAAGTTCAATTTCAATCATAACTAAATCACAAGGAAGTTTTTCCTTGTCGCTGTCGCCAAGTGCTTGGCCATGGTGGGAGCGGTTGGGTCTCTGTAAATAATTTTATAAGGAGTACGGTCGAGACCTGCTCTAGTTGAAAAGTTTCCTGCCCTTTTGTTATGAATTGGCGCTATACAAATAAGACTGAATTGAACCGAATTGACGAAAACTGTAGTTGCCTTTGTAGGGTAGCACACACTGGTCCTTTTAACCGTTGATCTGAACCTAACCGATGCTGGAGATTTTAAGCCAATACCAAAGTTTATATTTGAGAGTCAAAAGTCAAAATATACACACATTTTTGATAAATATCCTTTAAATTTGGTTCATAAAAAATCCCATAAATTTGTCAGTTCTCCCTAGTGGACAAACAATGAAGACTAAGTAACTTTTCCTGTTACTTCACCTGACATATGTGCCAATACATCTATCATTAGCTAATATTTTTTGGTCTGACTCTAATCTTAATGAAGCTTGATGCTGGCGTAAGAGTAAACTTAGAGAAAAGGTTAGGGGGGGTCACTAGAAACATATTAATGGCAGTAGTTGAGCTTTTAAGTTCATCACTAACCTGAATGTGTCTAAAATAACATTTACACAAAAAACCTAAACACTTATTGGACATTTTCTAGGGCTTTCAGCCATACTTATGACCTCCATCAGAGGATTAGGTTGCTTGATCACTTTTCTTCACATATACAGCTCTTCATGACATCTGAGAAAACTATTTGCTGATGAAGGCCACCAGATGTGGCTGAAACCCTTGGAAATGTTCCAGTAAGTGGAAGAATTGTTTGTCAAATTGCCAGTAGTTCTTGAGATTTTTTTGTTGTCTGATACTGCTGCCCCCAGCATTGTAAAAAGCCAACATAAGATTTAGTAAAATACTAGAGCAAAAGGCCTTTTGTCTGCAGGTGGATGGGCAGCTTTTGTTCTTTTAACAATTGCATAGAAGACAGAAAGAGAGAGACATTTTCGTTTTCAACATGGTGGCATCTCTGCGAGATGGAATCAACTCACCGTGGCGAACTGTAGCTGCCCCAATCCCTCATACCCGACCCCGGGGTCCTTGGGGACCGAACAGCAGCCGGCAAACCAGAGATCAGCTCAGCTACAGCTGGTTTCTGGTGAGGGGATGAGACTGAGGCCAGGAGGCACAGGACGGGGAGGGGCCGAGGGATAAAGAGAGAGAAAAGCTAGCAGGGAGGTTCTGGAAAGTAGTAACCTTTCCGATGATGAGTGCGTTTCCCATTACTGCTCTGACACCGGATCTGGGGAGATGATTTAATGGCGGCATTTTGTTTTTGCTGACTTCACCCTTTTTCCCCCCTATTAAAACAGAAAACATAAGAGCTGGGACTGGGACTGTGTGGGAAGTGTGGCCAAGCAGCTAAAATCTATTACTCCTCAACTTCTTCCCCCGTCTCTTTATCCCACTGATTCCGCCACAGTGTGGGTGCACTCAAATGCTTCCTGAGGTACACGCTCTTCCCTCTCCTCCTCCCTAACTGGTTTCTGTCTTATCATCCTTTTACCTCACTTTGCTGCCTCCTAACCCATTCTTTAATCATTACACACCGGATATGAACCACAAAGCCCTACGGGAGCCTTATATCTTAATTGATTACCTTGTCATAGACTTGTTTTAATGGAGTTGCAGTGTGCTACAAGCTGTTTGTATTTTTAGTGGAATTTCTGTAGCATAGTACTGGTAGAGTAGTCTTGAGTTT